TGTTTACTTCTTAAATTATTTTAAAGTCAAAATTTACATCAACTGCAAATTACATAAATTTAGAGCTAAAGGAAGAAAAAAAGACTATATGTTTTCTGCAATTTTAATTTCTGTTTCCATAAGAGCAAAAAGTAGAGGTCGGAGGAAGGATTTGAAATTTTGTAAGAGATTGCCTTTTCTTGAGCTATGACATTTACTGCAGAACAATAATTGTATTTTTTTTTCCAAATACATGTGTGTATTGCTTGTCACATTTCCAAACATATATGCATATACACACACACATACACACAGATATATCTAAATGCTTCTCAGTAGTCTTGTAACACCCAGAGGAATTGTTTTCAAAGGGAAGCAAGGAAGATGAGCATATGATCACTAATGACAGCCTTTGCTCTCGTGTAGTGAGAACATGAGCAACTGGTCTATACCGTGTTGGAGATACGCTTTATAGGCAGTGTATAAACGATACCTAGAGCAATACCAACAGCTAGACTTACTGTCAGCCAGGCATCGCGATCCCAAACACATAGAATCTGGGGAGTTTCCCGGATAGTATCCCCTATGTGACGGGCGTTTTCTGCAAAGCAGTTCTCACTTTTCTACTGAAAGCGGTCATAGGAGAAAATTGGCTTGGAGATCTACTTGTGGACACCTTTCATAGGTTTTTTGCTTAAAACTGAGGAGAGGTTGTGAGATTCGTTTGGCAGAACGGTAGCAGGTTTGGTGGAACCTCTATACCGCATGGAACTGGCTAGACACTGTCCAAAGTGCAACCCCAAATGCACAGCACGGACTTTGGTCCTCAGCACCAGCCGTTGAGTGATCCCACAGCGTGCTGCTGCTTGCCAGTGTAGATGCAACCTTACCCATGTTGAGCATGAAACAATGTGCAGCTGAGACCACGGGAACAAGTCATATTGCTTGCTCCAGATGTTTCCACCCAGCACAGGGTGGAGCCAGGCCTCTTAGGCCATCTTACCCATCCCTCATATTTGTTCATCTCTCTAATAATCATAAAACATTAACACGTTGCTTCTGAGTCTTGTGAATTTGTATGGCAGGATTTTTCTGAGACCTATTTCTGTTTTAGTTGGTATGAGAGATGCTTTTGAGTTTCAGCTGCGTAGCTGAGTCCTTCACAGAAAACAAGCGAGTGTCCACTTGAGGTCCCAGCAGACGCAGTGTCTTAGCAGTGATATAAATAGGCAATAAAGCAGCAGCAGCAGGAGGATGGAAGGAGGTGAGGAGGGGGGGGGGGGGGCGAGCCTGGCTTTTTTTGCACTTTGAGTGATTTATTGAAGCAATTTTTGTAAAAAACAATCGTGTATCGTCTAATTGGGAACACAAATTGCTGTCTGTCGAAGGCATGGTACATTGATTAGTCAGAAGATTGTCACCGGAAGTACCACCAAGGCTTGATCCATGGTGATACTGCAGCCTCTCCTCTGTCTCCGAGCAGGAGCGAGCAGGAGAGCAGCACATCAGCTCATGCCACGTCATTGGCCTGGTGAGGAAACCTTTTCATACTCCCAAAAGTACCCCAAATCAAGCACAAAACCACTGCCCAGTCCGGGAGGGGACATACGGTCCCCAGGGTCACCACCACACAGCCGTAGAGCTGCACTTGGGCTGAACCAATGTGTTCAGCTGTCCTCTGGGGTGGTGTGCGAGGCACCACTCCTGTTAATAACTAAAAGGCAGAGAACTGGTACATCCTCGAAGCCTTTTCCCATTTGCAGCTGCCGTGGGTTCTTCTGCAGAGTTCCCTGCATTTAATCCGCCACCGAGCGCTTGTCTACCTGTGGCACCTGAGAAGAACAATGTGGAGCAGAGACGTTGCTTGTTTAAAAAATTAGACTTAATTTCTCTCAGGATTTTCTCTGTCTCTAGTCAAGTTTGTTTTAAACTAATGGAAGTAATTAGTGAATCACAGAGGGACTTTGTCTAAGAGGTAGCCATTTTTAGATAATGGAGCATAAAAGTCGACACAGTGACATATGACACCAGAGCAGCATATTGGAGCACTGCACTGTGTCTTAAGCAGATGTTTAAATACTTTGAGTACTGAAATCACTGCATACACCTATAGGAGGGGATTTTTTTTCTCTTAGCCTGCAAGTACATTGTAGGGCTTTCTTTTAATCTCAATAAAATCAAAGTAACCTCTGAATCGTTTTTAATGTGCAGTCATTATCCCTCCTTTCTCTCTTCTTCAAATGTCTTTTGTATATGATAAGTTGTTGCTTCAGAAGGGAAAGCATGGGACTCACTTTTTGACACTGCCGTTATATAGCCAAAGAGTGCAATGATGCAGCAATTGAGGTGCATTGTTTCTAACAACACTGATGGCAAGGAGGTGAAAATAAATAACATATTAACAGCGAAACACTCGATGTGTTCACACATATTTATTATAGCTGTGACTCCAGGGGGAGATTTGCAGAAAGTCTTGAGAGATTAAGGAGCAGAAATCTCATAGAAAGCAAGTTCTGGAGGTGCTGTGGAGAAGGGCTCCTGGCAGCACCTGCTACGCCGTGATTCTCTGAGGCCCTTGCGGTGGCTGCTGGGCTGCGGTGGGTGCAGGGTGGGTGCGGTGGCTGCTGGGCTGCAGGGTGGGTGCAGGGTGGGTGCCACCAGACCATGCATGTGTTAGCCTTATTCATTGCTTTCATAAATCTTTATTTTTCAGACTAGTCTAGAGCTGATTGAAGGCTATGGAAAGACTCGATGGCTTTATCTTTACTCTTAAACCTAGTGGGGCCTGTGGTGGGTCTGAGAAATGGGCTATGATGGTCAGACTGAGAGCACAGTCCTTGGCTGGAGCTGGGCATCGCTCTCAGGAGGTAGCGTGGGCCAGGCATTGTCCCCAGTAGGCCATTCAGACGTGACATCCTGTTTTGGAGGGCAGCAGACTGGTAGCCTCGGGTGCTGGTTGGGTTTGGGTTGGGTGCTGCAGGCATGGCACGTGGGCACGCAGCAGAGGGCAGCTGGAGAGGGTCCCGAGCTCCTTGCCACTTCTGACTGGGAGGGACATTGACGTTTCTACACAGAGAGTCGTAAAGTATGTTAAAGTTTTGCTTCAGGTTCTGCACCTGGGTTTTGAAGTTTGAGATAATTCCAAGCTTTTCTGGAACTGGGGGAGACTCAGTCCTGCAGGCTTTCTCCATTCTTTATTTAACTTGATAGAAGCTTCACTTTAGTAGAGATCTCCTTCTCCAGTCTGCTGAACATCTACCCTTTCCAATGACATTCGGGCTGAAAGCAAGGATAGCAAGAGCTTCAACACTGTGGCCTGAGTATCAGTTAAGTAATACCTTGTTCCTTAGACAAATGGTGACCATGGTTTCATTTGAACTTTGAGTAGTGCAGGAGATGCCCCCTCCTATTACGCTAAAAAGCATTTGTTATGCTCCTGGAGATAGGAAGTGGAGATAACTGGTCAAATGTCTGGACTAAAGCATTTCGGATGAGATAGGCACGGGAGTTATTTATTGCAGTCTGAGCTACAGTGAAAAGTACAGACAGATTAACAGCCTGCTTTCTGAAACAAAACTGGGAGGGACTCTGGTTTTCCCCAGCTTCCAGATATAACAAAAATTAAATCATGTAGTCTCTGACAATGAAATTGCATAAAAACATTACCCACTTTGTTTTTATATACTGGGTAACTTTATTTATCTTCTTTTTTAATCAGTGTATGACGTTTGCTGTTTGCACCTAATAATTTACTGCAGCATTAGGTAGCAGTTTCCACTGCGCACACATAAAAATGTACTGATGTGATTTAAATAACTACATAGCCTGGAAAGCCTTTGTAGGATGTATAATTGCGACATGAGCCAGCACTCCGATTACTGAGAGAGACAGCTTTGTGAAGGAGTTGAAGGGAAACCCTGTGATCAGGGCACAGGCTGGGGATTCGGGAAACCTTCGCTCAATTCCTTCCTCCACCCTTATCCACTTCTCTCATTTCTCCGGAGTTTGATGGTACTGGGGGCTTTGGCAGCAGGACTGCCTTAGCTGTTTCCGGCTGCTTTTTCCTTCCCCCGTGCCCCCTTTTTAGATGTTTTTATTTAAATCCAGATATGTTTGCTTTCACCACGTGTGTATTCTGTCCCGTGGATTACCAGAAGAGCAGAAAATGTTTTGGTTCCCATGCGATGAGCTGCAGGTTCGATTTCTATTGGATTTGTCAGTTTTGTCATGTAATAATTTTGGGGTTTTTTCCAGCGTAACGTATGTGACATGTATCATAGTGCCAATAAAAATGCTTTTCTAACTAGAGAGTAAATGAGCTTGACTGAAAAGTGACCAAATAGAAGTTCAGCATTTGGAGGGCTTTGATCTGACAGTGTTAGCTTTTAAATGATAAGTGGTGGCTTGTGAAGCAAAGTCTTGAGGCTCTTCCTCCACCCAGGTGCAAGGTGGAGAGCAGTCACCTGGGCGGAGGTTACGGTTCTGGTGGTATGTGCCCGCCTCCAGCAGAGGAATATGTTCCACCAAATGTTTTTATTTTTTCTTCTTTGTTTATTTTTTTGTTTTTATATTTCTGATAATGGAATCGTTATGGGCTCTTAAATTTCAGTTAAGAATGTGCAAATAGGCTATTGCTAAGTAGGTTTTTGAAGGGTTAGGGAAATGGAGTACATTTTGTGCAAAAAAATACCCACAGTGTGGGTAATAGACTCCAGTTGCATTTAAAAGATAATGGCGACAAGGGAGAAATCCACTTGTAGAAATAGGGAACAGCTGCGTTTGAGATCTAATGAAACTGTATCAAATACTTTAAAAATGGCTTACAACTTCTTCTCCAGGGAATGGAGATAAAGTACAAGAGCATTCGTGAAAGGTCGAAGAAACAGTTAAATCATTTCCTTGATGGTTATTAGAGATATAGAACACATCAGTGAAAATTAAATGTCTGAAACTTGTATTTGATTGCTTTTCTTATCGTGCCAATCTCACACGTTTCTTCCGTCTCTTGCTCTGTGTTCTAGTAAAATTCAATAGCTGTGCTGGTAACAAGGGAATTCGGTATGAAACCAACAGCCTGGACTTCAAGGTGAGAGCAGATGGGACCATGTATGCAGTCCACCAGCTGCAGATGCCCTCCAAGCAGATGATACTCATAGTGACCGCATGGGATCCCCAGACGCTGGACAGATGGGAGGCAATTGTCAGGTTCCTGGTGGGAGAGAAATCGCAGCACAGTGGACACAAGGTAAGAAGTTCTCAAAACCACTTTTCTTCTTCCAGTCTTCCTTTGCCTGTGTTCCCAATGCCTTTAAAAAGTTAAATGCAGCATAGAATTATTCATATTGTCTGGTCTGTACCTCAAGGGGAAGTTTCCGGGTAGAAAAAGCCCCAAGCTGCGGCAGTCAACATCTTGCAGTCGTTCCTTGGTCCTCTGTCAGATAAATCATTTAACGTTACCAGCGAGGAAAGCGTTCTCTGAGTTTGCACTTTCATGTTCTTAAGTGACTGCTAGGTTCAGTTATTTACTGCAGATTCTTACAGCCTCGCTTAGCTTATGTTTGCTTCTCGCTGCTAATACGCTCCCTCGAGTTGAAATAAAGCCTGCCGATGAAGGGTGCCTACCTCTCTCTGGAATTGACACAGGCCATCTTGTTGATAAATGTAAGGCTAAATTCACATTTCTTTTGTGACAACATAAATCTGGAGCAACGCACTGACTGTTTATGCTGTGCTGCTGTGGATAAACTTTGGAGTCTTCTCTGTGGTTCCTACTGTGATTCATTTCTTTCGGTGGACCACCTGCGTGGCCCTGCAGCTCCGTGGTGGAGTAGCATGCTCCCAAATAGGGGTCCAGATGGGAGATTTAGGCTTGTCTCCTTCGTAGACAGCAAGGACAGGGAACATTGCTGCTGCTTGATAAGGGACATATGCTCACATGAAGTGTTGGCCAACGGGGCAGCGAAGCACAGCGTGGCACCTCTGTGGCAAACGTCCATTTGTCTGGACGCCAGTGTCTTGCCTTCCCTGCAGTTAAAGAGTCAAAGCCAGCTCCAAAGCCTTCACCAGTCAGTATTTCAGACAAAAGATTGCAGATATGTTCTCTCATTTTTAGTTTCATGCACATAGCTAAAAAGCAGAAGGGATCCGTCCCTGCCCAGGATTCTGAGAGCGACGTTGCCTCATTTAAATACAACCGTAGGCCGCACAGGGCCCCTCCAGTCAGGGACTGTGCCACAAAGCACACTTCTTCTGGCTTGCTCCTTTAGTAGTTGTCTCAGGCCTGTCTCTTCCATATCTAATCTTGGGCAGCAGTTCTCCAACTTTTTATAGTTCCCCCTTCCTTTTCAGTGATACTTTGGGCTGCAGACCTTGTACTACACTGACTAAAGACAGTTATGTGGTTTGCTGCTTCCTCAAAAAACGCAGTTCTGTGCTTGTTGCTATGGTTGGGGTTAGGTTTAGAGATAAGAGTCGGCCCGAAACTGGCTGAAAAGCTTGATTTGTCGTCGGATCTTCAAGCCCTGCAGTGTAAGGATGAAGGTGTGTGTCCCTGGGGAATGGTCCCAGTGAGGCTAGGAATGGGCAGGGTCACGTGGCCGTGGTTATAGTTAGGATTAATGTGCTGTGGTAGTTGTCAAAAATAGCAAGGCTGGATTCTCCTTCTCTTTTCTGTACTGATTGTGCAGAGAGAGCAGGGCAGAGAAGGAGGGAGGACGAGCGAGGGAAAGACTTTCTGTGCCTCACTGTAAGAATCCCTCAGACACGTGAGAGAAGCAGGAAAGCATTTGGAGAAGGTTAAATCTAGCAGTCACCCAGCGGGCTGACCCCTGAGGTTTTGCACGGCTTAGCGTCATATAAATACACTTCTGCGCCTCTTCAGTAAGGCTCTGGCTTGTGCAAGATATAATTAAGCCCTGTATGTTATGTCAGCTGTGTTTGCCATTTTGTAGCCAAAGAAATACTGCTTCTTTCTAGAAGTAATTAAATATTGAAAGAACAAAGTAAGGTGTCTTGTATACTGCTTTAAATTTCTTCTCAGGGTAGCCGAAAGAAAACTGAGTAAGCACACATTTCTGTTTTAGTAAAATATTTGGTTGGAAATTCATCTAATGTTAGTATAAGCTGAACTCTAGTTCAAACTAGAGAGAGATAGGCTTTTTAAAATTCATATCCCTGCTTTCTAAAAGCCTTATTAGTGTGCAGTTTGAGGCTGGAAAAACGTAGAAAACAACACTAATGATAAGGTCACAAACAGTTTTATTGTGGGTCCCTGTTGCAGGCATCTGACTAGTGTCTTATTTAAATGTTTTGCTTTTTTGCAAGCAAAATAATACTTTGTTTACTGAAGAAATAAATATGATTATGAGATTATTTTCAAAAATAATAGTGTTTATGCTAAAAAACCAACAATATCCAGTTCAATGTGTTTCAGGCCATGACCCTAATATACTACATTTCATGGTTTTTACTAGAAACAGATTTCACATTTGTTTTTGTAAGGTATAATATGACTCAAGCAAAACCAACATAATTGTTTTAAAGAATTTTCTCGTATATTCAGAGGATAGAGAAAGCAGATAGGGGAGACAAAGGTGGAGGTGACATGAGAGAGAGAGAGAGAAGGAGACCCACTCTTTCTTCTAGTGCGTACATCCATTTTCATTTGTGGCTGATTTTGTGAAAATACCTAACAGTTCGCAGACATTAAAAACGACTGATAGGACGCCTGCCTTGCTGCACATCAGTGCTGACTGGCGCTTGCAACGCAACCGAGTCCTTCTAGCTTGCCTAGCCCTCCGCTATATGTCTGTAGGCTTCTCCATGACTGATGGCCCTCGCTTGTTGCAGTCTCACTGCGCGACAAGACGCTTTCTGCTCCTCTTTTCCATTTAAGAACATAATTTAAAGGAGAAATCAGAATTTGTTTCACAACTATCCATGGGTGAAGCTTCATGAGAGCAGAATTATCCCACTTGGAATGGCCACTCTGAGGCGTTTGGTTGATCCTGGAGGTTACTACAGAACAAATCTTAAGAGAAGAGGTTGCCCCTGTTAGGATACTGGCTGAGGACATGGGAGACCAGAGATGAGGTCCCTGCTCTGCTGTAAATTGCCTGGTGCCTTCTAGGGGAGGCCGACCCAATTCCCTACTCCCTGTCCATGAAACGGAAGCAGTGATTGTACTTTTCTACATCCCAGGAGCGCACCGAGGGCAAACTCTTCAAAACAGTGGTGTGATCCTTTGTGCTTGTGATCCTTTATTACCCCAGTACATAAAAATGGAAAGTTGCAGCATGGAAGAGGAGAGCGTTGGCAGTGGCCAGCGTGCCCTCTGAGTGGCGAATCCATTCAGGAGGGCTCCCTGTTGGGACAGTTGTCCCCGTGTGCGCTTTCAGTGCAAAATCAGTTTCTGGTGTTTATGCGTGTGCCTCCAAGCGCGCGGTGCCGTTACTCTCAGCGGAGGCTGACACTTTAATGGTGAGTGATCCAAGACAGTGACAGTTTCCCCTCCTTTATAATGTTGGCCTCAAAAATGTGCTAATTTGATTAGAAAACTGAATAACCTAGGCAAATCTGCAAATCTTCACTGGCAGCCACTGTGATACAGGGATTCTAACTACAATATCAGAGTTTAATGCACGCAAGATAAAATGATCGGAAGGAAGATAAATATTTAAATAAAAGTATTTTATGATATACCAGCGTACATTCCCCCCGCCTCCCCAGCAAACACTTGAAGGTAAACTTTTTTTCTGGTTAATACAAGGGTGTTAGTAACTGTAGGAACTTTTTTTGTTCAGTCTTGCAGGAAACCTGATAGCAATTCAATTAGGAAATGCAAATGAGGTCACATATTTCCCACAGGAGTGTCGAATTACCCCAGAGAAAACTGAGTGATATTCTAGCATAACAATAAATACTTACGATAAAGTTTCTTACACTGTTCCTGTCAGACTGCCTGTTGTTGCCATTGAAAGTATCAGCGGGACCTGTGGGTGTAATTTGGAAAACAGAAAAGAGGAAGAAAGAAAAGAAAAAAGTTGTTTATGAAGCTAGTATTAGGTCCTTGTAGCTCATGTCAGCACTTAGGAAAGATAAACTTGAGTGCGATAATGCTCCAGAAGAAAACGCAGTAAAGCCAGGCTTTACTTTTCTGGAATTAGCAGTGCCGTGTCTTCTTTTCTAAAAATACATCCTGTTATTTCCAACAGTTGCATATTGATTTAACCAAAAGGCCAAAGATGAAGATTATGTTTGCGAACAGTGACATAGCTGAAGACTCCAGTCTTCAGAGTGCCCTCTGCTTCATATGTGCAGGAACTCCGACCTTCCGAAGAGTGCAGATGGATCTGTAGCCGCTTGTGCTTCATTTCCCACATCCTCCCCGGTGTTAGAGAGCCTCCTCGTTACTCTTCGTTACTCAGCATCCTCCACTCTCTGAGCTAGTTTGTCCCATCCGACATTGTGGCCCACTGTTTCATATTGGTCTGTTCTTATTTTTCAGTGCTTGGGTGTGTCTAAACATGTTGAATCATGTCTGGTAATCTTTTTTTTATTAGTTTATTTTATTTTCCTGTAGTTCTCACTTCATGAGTTAAATCGGGATCATAGAAAGAGAGAGTAGAAAAAAATCCTCACCGAAACAGTATGGAGGTATAGGATATATTCAGCATACGTAGGGTGCCAGTCACCTTTGCTGACAGTGACTTCCTTTAGAAAAAATGTTGTTTTCTGTGAATTGTTTGTGTAAACCTATTTCTGTCATTGTCTTAGTGTCTCAAATTCTGAGCGTGGAAGTATGTACATTTTTGCAATGTTAAATCATTGCCAATTGTGCAATTAAAATCTTGCAAATATATGGATATGCAACTAGCGTTTAAAACATTGAGAAATATTGTCAAAAATCAATCCTTGCATAAGCCCTGTTTATGTTTTTTTACGTCTTGTCTTATTTTGGGATTCTTTCATAACCCATATGAAAGTGATATGAATGTGAAAAGCCGATTCTTAAAGCCAGTTTTTTTGATTTAAAGCCTTTAAATAATCATCTCTGGCATTTTACCTGGCTAAGGTTTTTAAATTCCACTACAGCTTTTTATTGCTGATCACAAATACAAAGGTCTCCAGGCAAGGAAGGGCTCTTTCAGCACTGATATTGTTTATGACCCCAGTTATTGCGCTAGCCGGCGTTTTCTGTGCAGCGCCTAGGAGCAATGAAGACGTATCCTTCCCTTGATGGAAGAA